CAGGAACCTGAGCTGAGGAGGAAGAGCATTCCAGGTGTGAGGACATCAAGTGAAAATGAAGCATAGAGCTGAGCTGTCCAGTTTAAGGAAGGCCAGTGTTGCTAGATTATAGACTATGTGGAGGAGAGTACAGTGAAAGAAGACTTGAAAGGTAGGAAGGGACCAGGTGTTAAAGGACTTTATATTTGACCAGGAGGTAACAGGAAGCCACTGGAGTTTATTGAGTAGGGTAGTAGTATGGTCAGACCTGTGTTTTAGGTAGATCACTTTAGCATCTGGTAGAGGATAGACTGGAGTGGCAAAACTTCAAGCAAAAAAGCCAATCAGAAGACCATTGCAATAATCTAAATGTGAAGTGGCCTGTAGTAGGGTGGTAGATGACTGAATGGAGGGAAGGGGATATCTATATAGTGGATGTTGTAAAGATAGAATTATCAGACGTCATAGCAGATTGTATCTATGGTGTGAAGGTGAAAAAGGAGTTTAGAACTTGTGTGACTGAGATTGATGCTTTGACAAAAATATAGAAGGGAAGAAGAAAGGAGGGTTAGGGGGGGAAGGGAAGATGAAGGGAATAAGTATTTATATAGCACCTATTATGTACCAGACGTTATGATAAATGCTTATAAATATTATCTCCTTTGATTGTTACAACAACCCTGTGGTATTATTATTATCTTCCATTGAGGAGTTAAGGAAACTGAGCCAGACAGGTTAAGTGATTTGCCTAGGGTCACATAGCCAATAAGTATCTAAGGCTGGACTTGAACTTAGGTATTCCTCAGGCCCAGTACTCTACCTACCTATGAGGAATCAGGCACTCAAAGTGGATCAGGTCTGGGAAAGACTTCTGGAGCCCTGCAGAATTCCCTGTAGTGACTAGACCAGAGGCAGATAGCCTGGATCAGGAGCCTTCTCCCTGGGAAGTCTCTGAAGCCTAGAGGTTTCAAGGATTAGAGCATAATTTATTTGTTATATCTGGTATTCTTTTCCAGGGAGCAGGGGGAGGAGGGAATAGGGGAGATTCCTGTCAAATTTAAAACATTGGCAATCTTTTTTTTTCTTTTTTTATTTATTTTGAACTTAAGCAACAAAATGTATTTCCATATATGCAATAGAAGACCCCCAAGGAGCAATTTTATGAAACCGTGTATTTACATTTTATAAAACTTAGTTTTTTTAAAGTATAGAATAATTTCACGCATTACTTTCAAAATGTTTCTATAAGTCTGTAGTTCCTTCTGAACTTCCTTCCTTCTAGGCACGTTAAATGTTTTAATGACTCTCTCTTTTTTTTCTTTTTTGCATCAGTGTCGCTAAATACCACTTCCCCCAACTAAAAATGGAGAAAAACAAAAAAAAATTCTAACAAGTAAGCACAGTCAGGTAAAACAAATCTATACAGTGGTCATGTCCAAAAACACATATCACTTTCTGAACCTTGAAACCATCACCCCTTTGTCAAAAGGTAGATAATTTGATGCATCATAAGTCTTGTGAGATGTAGTCATTGCATTAATCAAGTTTTCAAATCTTCTATAGCTGTCTTTTTTCACAACGTTGTTCTCAGATACCAAATGTTATTTGGCTCACTTCTCTCTACATTAGTTTGTATTAGCTAGGAATCTCTGCAACTGTCTCCTTATAGGTAAATAATATTACATTAAATTTATATACTATAATGTGTTCAGCCTTTCCCCATTGATGAGCACGCCATCCCCTTAGATTTTGATTCTTTGCTTTCTTTTTTTTTTATTAATCCTATCCTTCTATCTGCCTTTCAGGATGAGAAAATTTATTTTGCTTGTGACCATTCCTTTTTTGGTATTATCTCTCCTCTCATCATGCTTCCCCCGCACAATACTTGATTGTTTCCCTGTTCAATTTGATGTATTTCTACACTAGACTCTATATATGTATTTAATTCTCCTTTGTCTGTGAGGTTCAGATGATGTTACTTTTCCCCTACTCCTTCCTCCATGTTTGTATATACTCTTCTTCTTATGCACTACAGTTACAAGAAATCACAAATTCCATTCCTCTTCCTTTTCTTTATGCTGCTATATTCCTTTTACTCTCCTTTCTTTTTCCCAACTTAAAACCCTCAGACCATAACCAATCCACTCCCAGGTCCTCTGTTTTTCTTATTTAATTTCCTTTGAATACATTAAGCTTCTGAAAGGACATTTGTTCTTCTCCCATATTAGAATGCTAGTACTACAACATCATACAGTCCTTTTCAATTAATCAAATAAATTTACCTTTTCTATGTTTCTCTTGACTCTTGTGTTTTCATTTTAAAGTTTCTACTCAGCTCTGGTCTTTTCATCAAAAATTCTTCATACTTCCCTATTCCATCAGAGGTCCATTCTCCTAACTCTACCACCACACAAGTAGGATTATACTAGGCTTTTTAGTACATTGTTCTTGATTGTAAACCTGTCTTTATTGGATTTTTGAAATACTATGTTACAAGATTTCTTCTGATTTTTAGTAGTACCTTCAGGTCTTGTGTTATTCTGACTGTATTTCCTTGGTGATTAAATTGCTCCTTTCAAGATGCTTGCAATATTTTTTTGGTACTTCTGGGTTTTAGCTATGCATTCCTGGTACTTATACTTTTGGGGTTCCTTTCAGTAGGTGATCAGTGGATTTTTTTCTAGATATGGGGAGTCTTTGTTTCTGATTTCTTTACACATAGTGTAGAGATCTTTTTTCTTTAATGTGATTTTCAGTCCAATGCTTCTTAAATTGTTTCTCCTTGATATGTTTTTAAGGTTAGTTATTTTTGACATTAGATATTATATATGTTCTATCTATTATTGTTTTGATTTTGATCTAAATTTTTTTTTGTTGTCTCTTGGAATAATTGATTTCTGTTTGGTCTTTTCTACCTTTCAGAGTCCATTACTTGGTGAGGTTAGGTTTAGCACTTTCTATTCTAAGCTATTTATTCTCCTTCTGATTCTATCCTGCAAAATATTTGTTCCTCTTTTTTTTTTTGATCTCTTGCTTGGTTTCTTTGAGTCTTTCCTCACCACTGCCAAGTAGTGAGTCTCTCTTTTGGAGACCTGTAGTTTATTGTTTTCTCCAATTTACCCAACACTCCTGCTTGGGTTACTGGATTGAGTTGCTGAATTTGGTTGCCTGGATTTTACTCCAGGGCCAGTTTTCAAATTAAGTCAACAAGAGTTTATTAAGCACTTACTCTGTGCCAGGCACTTGATTAAAAGTTTGGAATAAGAAGAAAGTCAAAATAACAACAAAAACAGACTCTACCCTCAAGGAGATCACAGTCTAATGGGGCGGCAACATGCAAACAACTATGTACAAATAAAATACATAATAACAGCTAATATTTATTTAGCACTTTAAGGTTGGCAAAGTTATTTACAAGTATATTTTTATACACACAACAACCCTGGGAGGTAGGTGCTATTAATAGTAACAGTATTTTACATGTTACAGATGAAGAAACTGTGGCACATGGAGGTTAAGTGACTTGTCCAGGATCACATAACTAGTGACGTCTGCAGCTGAATTTGAATGCAGGACATCCTAAATTCAAGTCCAGTGGTCTATAGGAGATGAATTCTGTGGGAAGGAATTTAGGTTAAGGAAGACTGGACTTTCAGGAGCCAAGATGGTGGAGTAAGCAGTAAACTCTCCCATACTCACTTCCAAATAACCATAAAATAGAACCCCAAAACAAATTCTAGAACAGCAAAGCCAGCAAAAAAAAAAAACAAACACAGGGGAATAATCTTTTAGCCCTAGAAACTTGAAGGATTGGCAAGAAAGGTCCATCTCACTCAGGTGAAAAGGGAGCTCAGCCCAGGGTGGGAAGTATACCAGCAAGCTAGCAGCAAACCAACAGGAGATCCTGAGCCCTAGTGTGGTGGAGCAGCAAATGTCAACACCAGGACTCCCTCCCCACATGCCTTAGCATAGCCAGAGGAACTGGCTTCCTCCAGCTCCCAGAATCACCATGGGCTTCAGTGTCCCCTGAGCAAATAGGCAGTCTCCAGCAGCCAGGCCTCCACGTGCTTCATGAAGCACAGCCCTGAGCAAATAGGAAGACACCTACCCTACAGGTGCCAAAGCAAAGGCACCAGCCAGCCCCAGTCCAGCACAAGAGGAGCCCCGAGCCAACAGGCAGCCCTCTAGGTAGCCACTAGGAAATGCACAAACATCCCAGGGCCTCAGCACACACCACCCACTACCACTAGGACTCCTGGCTCAGCACCAGGTAAGCTGTCAGACCCTTATGGCCTCCAGTAGCACCAGCCAACCCCTACCCCACCACCTCAGAGCAACATCAGACACAAGGGTCCCCTGTGGTCCTCTGGGCAACATTAGTGAAGCACCAGGTAAACAGCCAGGGCCTGCAGCTACTAGCACAAGAAGCCAGAGACAGTGCCCCTTCCACCTTGGGAGCAGAGTTCAAATTTAAAAGAAAGGGAAAAGGTCCAAAATGGGGAAGAGGCGAATATGAACAGAAAACACTAACAACAACAACAAAAAGAATCTGACTATAGAAAGTTACTATGGGGACCGGGAAGACCAGGACATAAACTCAGAAGGGGACGATAATGACAAAATTACTAATGGGCAAAATCCCAAAGAACAACAGGAAATGGCCTCAAGCCCAGAAAGATCTCATGGAAGAGCTCAAAAAGGAACTTAAAAATCATAAAGAGAGGGACAGAGTCAAGACGGTGGAGTAAAGCGTGACTTGCTTGAGCTCTCCCCCAAACCCCTCCAAATACCTGTAAAAAATACTTCTAAACAAATTCTAGACCAGCAGAACGCACAAAAAGACAGTGAAACAAATTTTTAGCCCAAGACCACCTGGATGGTTGATGCGAAAAGTTCTGCTGTGTGGGGCTGGGAGAGGAGCACAGTTCAGCATGTGCCAGGCAGGCAAACACCAGGCCTCAGTGAACTCAGAGCAGACCTCAGGAGACTGAATCACTAGCAGCTGTAGCGGTTTCCAGACTTCTTAACCCAAAAACACCAAAGACAACTTAGAAGGTCAGTAGGAAAGGTCTGTTGGACCTGGGTGACAGAAGAATGTGGTCCAGCCTCAGTCCTGGCACAACCCCGGGGCAGTGACAGCTGCTTCCAGAGCTCTCGGCCCACAGACGGTGGGGGGATTGAATAGCTGATCAGAGATGGATTACAAGGATCTCTTTGCTGGTGCTGAGGCAGGATTCTCTTGCTTTGTCCATGCTTGAATCTGGGTTCCAGTCATGAGTCATGATCCTGGGTGGTAGTTCTGGGGCGAGGAGAAGCACTGGTGTGATGGAGCTTGTGGCAGCGGTGCAGAGAGAATCCTCCTCACAGTTCTAAGGCAGAAAAGAGTGTTTGTAATCACTCATAGACCAGAGCACAGGCTAGGAAATGAGTAAACATGTCACCTTTGACCATGTCGCTTTGGAAGAACTGAAAATTTACAGGTCCCTAGAAGTATATCTGAAAACAGCTACACAAAACCCCTGAAGCTTGGGAAAGTACACCCTCCACACTGGAAGCAGAGCCCTACCTTAACAGTCTGAAAGTCAAGTAATTGACTGGGAACATGATCAACCAGAGCAAAAATACTCAGAGTATAGAATCTTACTTTGGTGACAAAGAAGATCAAAACAGACAATCAGGAGAAGACAACCAAGTCAAAGCTCCTACATACAAAGCCTCCAAGAAAAATATGAATTGGTCACAGGTCATGGAAGAGCTCAGACAAGATTTTGAGAAGCAAGTGAGAGAAGTAGAGGAAAAACTGGGAAGAGAAATGAGAGTGATGCAAGAAAATCATGAAAAACAAGTCAACAGCTTGCTAAAGGGGACCCAAAAATATATTGGAAAAAAATAACACCTTAAAAAATAGACTAATCCAAATGGCAAAAGAGGTCCTAAAAGTCAATGAGGAAAAGAATGCTTTAAAAAGCAAAATTGGGCAAATGGAAAAGGAAGTCCAAAAGCTACTGAAGAAATTACTTCCTTAAAATTAGAATAGAGCAATTGAAACCTAGTGACTTTATGAGAAATCAAGATGTTGTAAAATCAAATCAAAAGAATGAAAAAATAGAAGGCAATATGAAATATCTCATTGGAAAAACAATTGACCTGCAAAATAGATCCAGGAGAGAGAATTTTAAATTACTGGACTACCTGAAAGCCATGATCAAAAAAAGAGCCTAGACATCATCTTTCAAGAAATTATCAAAGAAAACTGCCTTGAGATTCTAGAAACAGAGGGTAAAATAGAAATTTAAATAATCCACTGATCACTTCCTGAAACAGATCCCCAAAGGAAAACTCCTAGGATTATTAGAGCCAAATCCCAGAGTTCCCAGGTCAAGAGAAAATATTGCAAGCAGTCAGAAAGGAACAATTCAAGTATTGTGGAAACACGATCAGGATAACACAAGATTTAGCAACTTCTACATTAAGGGATCTGAGGGTTTGGAATTAGATATTCCAGAGGCCAAAGGAGATAGGATTAAAACCAAGAATCACCTACTCAGCAAAATGGAGAATAATCAATGAGGGGAAAATTTTACATTCAATGATGAAGAGAAATTTAATGCATTCTTGAGAAGCCAGAGATAAATAGAAAAATTGTCTTTCAAATACCAGACTCAAGAGAAGCATGAAAAGGTAAACAGGAAAGAGAAATCATAAGGGACTTCTTAAAGTTGAACTGTTTTACATTCCTACATGGAAAGATGGTATTTGGAACTCATGAGACGCTTCGTATTGCTAGGATAGTTGGAAGAAATATATATAGACATAGGGCACAGGGTGAGTTGAATATGAAGGGATGATATCTAAAACATAAAATTAAAGGGTAAGAGAGAAATGTACTGGGAGAAGGGGAAAGGGAGAGGTAGAATAGGGTAAATTATCTCACATAAAAGAGGCAAGAAAAAGCTTTTACAGTGGAAGGGTTGAGGAGGGAGGTGAGAGGGAATGAGTGAACCTTACTCTCATTGGATTTGGCTTAAGGAGGGAATAACTTACACACTCAATTGGGTATGGAAATCTATCTTACCCTACAGGAAAGTAGGGAGAAAGGGGATAAGAGAGAGAGGGGTGATAGAAGGGAGGGAAGACTCAGGGAGGGGGTAATCAGAAGCAAACTTTTGATGAGGGATAGGGACAAAGGAGAGAACAGAATAAATGGGAGCAGGATAGGATGGAGAGAAATATATTTAGTTTTTCACAACATGACTACTATGGAAGTGTTTTGCATGACTACACATGTATAACATATCAAATTGCTTGCCTTCTCAGGGAAGGTAGGTGGGGAGGGAGGGAGGGAGAGAATTTGGAACTCAAGGTTTTAAAAACAAATGTTAAAAATTGTTTTTACATGCAACTAGGAAATAAGATACAGGCAATGGGGTACAGAAATCTATCCTGCCCTGCAGGAATATAAAAGAGGAAGGGGATAAGGGGAGGGGGTGATAGATGGGAGGGCAGATGGGGGGAAGGGTTATTCAGAATACATGCCATCTTGAGGTATAGGGAGGGAAAAGATGAGGAGAAAACTTGGAATTCAAAATCTTGTGGAATGAATGTTGAAAACTAAAAATAAATTAATTTTAACAAGAAAGAAAAAATCATAGAGATAGAAGAAAAACTGGGAAAAGAAATGAGAGTGATGCAAGATAATTATGAAGAAAAAGTCAACAGCCTGGAAAACTGTTTAAAAATAGAATTGGCCAAATGAAAAAGAAAGTACAAAAGCCAATAGAGGAAAACAATACCTCTATGAGAAATCATGAATCAATCAAACAAATTCATAACAATACAAAAATGGAAGAAAATAAAAAATCACTCATGGGAAAAACAACTGACCTGGAAAATAGATCCAGGAGAGACAACATCAGAATCGCTGGACTACTTAAAAGCCATAATCAAAAAGAGAACCTGGACAGCATCTTTCAAGAAATTTTCAAGGAAAACTGTCCTTATGTCCTGGAACCAGAGGGCAAAATAGCCATTGAAAGAATCTACTGATCACCTCAGGAAAAAGATACCAAAATAAAAAACCCAGGGAACATTATAGTCAAATTTCAAAACCGTTAGGTCAAGGAAAAAATACTACAAGTAACCACAAAGAAACAATTCAAATATTGGGGAGTCACAATAAGGATCACACAGGACCTGGCAGCTGCAACCTTAAAGGATCAGAGGTCCTGAAATGTAATATTCCAGAGGGCAAAGGAGCTAGGACTACAACCAAGAATCACTTACCTAGCAAAATGAAGCATAATGCATCAAAGGGGAAAAATGGTCATTCAGCGATATAGAAGGATGTTAAGCCTTCATAAGGAGAAGACCAGAACTAAACCAAAAATTTGATCTTCAATATCAAAACCCAAGAGAGGTATAAACATGTGAAAAAGTAAAAAGAAAACATAAGGGATTCAATAGAGCTAAACTGTTTACATCCCTACGTGGGAAGATAATACTTGTAACTCTTAAAAACTGCATCACTAACAGTGCAGAAAAAATGAATCTACATATACAGAGGATATGGGTATAAGGTAAATTTGAAGGAATGACATAAAAAAATAAAGAATGGCAGAGAGGAGTATAAAGGGTGCAGAAGGAAGGGGAAGGTAGAATGGGGCAAATAATCTCAGATGAAGAGGTGAAAAAGACTTATTACAGTGAGGCGAAGATGGGGTGTGGGGTGCAATAGGCATTGATTGAACCTTATTCGCATCAGTATTGGCTCAAAGAGAGAATAATATACACAATCAGATGAATATAGAAATCTATCTTACCCAACAAGGAAGTAGGAGGGGAAGAGAGTAAGTAAGTAAAGGGGGGCAGGTGGGGGACTTACATAAAGGAGGGCAAATGAGGGCAAGTGGTAGACAGAAGGAAAAACATTGGTGAGGTGGGAAAGGGTGAAAGGAGAGAGAGGACAAACAGGAGGAAGAATAGGATGGAGGGAAATACACAGGTAGTAATCATATCTATGAATGTGAATAGGATGAACTCTCCCATAAAATGGAAGCACATAGCAGAGTAGATCAAAAACCAGAATCCTACAATGTGTTGCTTGCAAGAAACACACTTGAAGCAGAGAGACACACATAGAGTAAAGGTAAGGAGCTGGTGCAGAATCTATTATGCTTCAGCTGAAGTAAAAAAAAAAAGCAGAGGTAGCAATCCTGATTTTAGACAAAGTAAAAAGCAAAAATGTACCTAATTAAAAGAAATGAAGTAGGAAACTATTTCTTGCTAAAAAGTGCCATAGGCAATGAAGCAATCAAAGCAGAACAGCAAGGAGTGGTCTACCTGGCAGATCTATGGGGAGGTAAAGAACTCATGACTGAATAAGAGATAGGGAGCATTACAAAATGTAGAATAAATAATTTTGATCATATTAAGTTGAAAAGCTTTTGTACAGGCAGGGCCAAAGCATCCCAAGAGTAGAAGGAGGGCAGAAGTTTGGGAAACAATTTTTACAATAAGTGTCTCTCATAAAGGCCTCATTTATCAAGTAATAGAGAACTGAGTTAAATTTATGAGAGTAGAAGCCATTCCCCAATTGATAAATGGTTAAAGGACATGAATGGGCTGTTTTCAGATGAAGAAATAAAATATATGTATATATATATATATATATATATATATATATACATATATATATATATGTATATATATATATATATATAATATATATATATCAATAGGCATATGAAGATGGACTCTAAATTGCTTTTGATTGAAGAAATGCAAATTAAAACAACTCTGAGATACCATCTCAGACCAATCAGATTGGTTAATATGACAAAAAAAGGAAAATGATAGATATTTGAGAGTATGTGGGAAAACTGGGACACTAATGCATTGTTGGTAGAATTGTGAACTGGTCCAACCATTTTGGGAGAGCAATTTGGAACTATATCCAAAGGGCAACCAAACTGTGCATACCTTTTGATCCAGCAATGCCCCTGCTAGGTCTGAGATCATTAAAAATGGAAAAGGACCTACATGTACAAAAATATTTATAGCAGCCCTTTTTGTGATGGCAAAATATTGGAAATTGAGGGGATGTCCATCAATTGGGGAATGGCTGAACAAACTGTGTAATATTAATATAATGGAATACTATTGTGCAATAAGAAATGATGAACAGGCAGAATCCAGAACTTGTACAAACTGGTGCAAAGTGAAATGAGAAGAAATCAGAAAACATCATACATAGTATCAGCAGCATCATGTGATGATAAACTATGAATGACTCTGCTCTTCTCAGCAACACCATAATCCAAGACAAGTACAAAAGTCTCAAAAAGGAAAATGTTCTCCATATCCAGATAAAGAACCGATGGACTCAGAATGCAGATCAAAGCATATTTTTATCACTTACTTTATTTTTTCTTACTATTTTATTTCCTTTTGATCTGTTTCTTCTTCCACAATTGTGACAAATAAGGAAATATGCTTTACATGATAGTCCATGTATAAACGATATCAATTTCTTTACCATTTTCAGAAGAAAGGTGGGGAAGGAAGAAGTGAGAAATATTAGGAACTCAAAATCTAGTAAAAATGAATGCTAAAAATTTCTCTTAATGTGTAATTGGGGAAAATAAAATACTATTAAAATAAAAAATTAAATTAATTTTTAAAAATAAAATTAATTTTTAAAAAAAGATTAAGGAAGAGTGGAAAAGTCTGCTTTAAAAAGCCACAACTATATCTGGGACTTGAAGGAAGTAAGGAAAACAAGAGGTGCAGATGCAAAGGGAAAGAGTTCTAGACATAGAGGAGAAGTAATAAAAATGCCCATAGTTGAGATTTGGAGTGTGTTGTGTAAGGAGCAGCAAAAAAAGGCCACTATCACTGGAAAGACAGGAAAGATAAGGGCTATGAAAATTTTTAAAAGTCGATCAGAGGATGTGACAGTGCTGGTGAAAGCAAATCACTAGAGTTTATTGAATGGGGGTTGGAGGTGAAATGTAAGATCCCTTTGACTCAATCACTTGAGTGTAGGATGGAGGCAAAGGGAAAGATTTGAAGCAGGGAGACCAACCAGAAAGCTATTATAATTACCCAGTTCTGGAATGATTAGATCCTGCACCTTGACAATGGCAGTGTCAGAGAAAAGAAGGGATGATGCAGCAGTAGAATAAACTGAGCAAATGATTAGATACAGAGGTGAGAAAAAGTGAGGAATAAAGGAGGACATATAGATTGTGACTCTGAGTGATTATGAGGATAGTGGTGTCCTCCACAAGAAAAGAAGTGTTTATAAAAGGGGAAGATAAGAGGGAAAAGATAATAAGTTCACTTTTGGAAATGTTGAGTTTGGAGAGAATACTTTCAGTAGAGATTAGAAGTCAGACTGTAGAGAGTTAAGAATAGAGTGAGGAGATAGGAAGTAGAGGCACCCATTGTCGGTTTATCCGTGAAAAAGAGAAAAGATACTTGATGACAGCTAGCAAGGATGGAAGGCTCAGCTGAGGGTTTTTTGAGGATAGGAAAGACATGAACATGTTTATAATCATTAAGAAGCAGCTAGAAGACAGAGAGAGATTAAAAAAGAGAGTAGTGAAATAGAGGGAGTAATCTGCTGAAGAAGATGGGATGGAATAGGACCACTTGTGCATTTGAAACATTTCCCTTGTTAAGGAAAAGACATTGAACAGGCTGTAAATGAGTTTCAAAAGAAAACATCATCAGGACTGGATGGATTTACAAGTGAATTCTACCAAACATTTAAAGATCAACTAATTCCAAAATTAAATAAATTATTTGGAATAGGTAAAGAAGGATCCTACCAAACTCCTTTTATGAAACAAATATGGTATTGGTACCTAAAGGAGGAAGAGCAAAAACAGAGAAAGAAAATTACAAACCAATGTCACTAATGCATGTTGTTGCAAAAAATCCTAAATAAAATATTAGCTAGGTGACTACAATAATATATCACAAAGATTATGCATTATGGCCCAGTGCGATTTGTACCAGGAATGGAAGGATGGTTCAACACAAGGAAATTATCACATAATTTATCAATAACAAAAATCACATGATTGTAGCAATAGATTCAGAAAAAAGCTTTTGACAAAATACCACATTCATTACTATTAAAAACACTTGAGAAGACAGCAGAGAAAAGTAAGGAAGTTCCCTGAGCTCTCCCCAGTTTCCCTTGGAAACAACATTGAATCAAGCCTCTAGATGGTATCTGGAGCAACAGAACTTAGAGAAAGACAGAGTGAAACAATTTTCCAGCTTAACATAACTTAGAAGGACTTCAAGGAAAGGTCTGCCTCACTTGCGTAAAAGGGGAACACAACCCAATGTAGATGGTGTTCAGGAAAGCCAGTGGTTGGCTCCTAGCCACAGCACAAATCAGCAGCTGAGGCCCATAGGTCAACTGAGACCCATAGCAGGCCAACTGTGAGACCTCCAGCCCCAGAACAAAAGGCAAATTGCCAGCCTTGGAAACCAGACAACAACAAAGATGATGATGCCAGACCACTCCAACACAGTGAGCAGGCCATCAGCATCTGAGGCACCAGTGCCAAAGCCAATGACCAGGCCCCTGGCCACCAGCACAAGAAGCTTAGGATGGTGCCGCCTGTGACCCAGGAGCAGAGCTCAATTTTAAAAGCCACAAAATAGGCAAAAATATGAGCAAGAGGCAAAATAGGACCTTGACCATAGAGATCTTCTCTGGTGACAGGAAGATCAAAACACAAACTCAGAAGAGGACAACAGTGTCATAATACCTACATGTCAAAGGTCAAAAGGGAATATGAATTGGCCTCAAACCCAAAAAGCTGTCTTGGGAGAGCTCAAAAAGGATTTTAAAAGTCAAATAAGAGAGGTAGAAGAAAACTGGGAAAATAAATGAGACGTATGCAAGAGAGAATCAACAGCTTGGAAAAGGAAGAATAAAAATTTACTGAAGAAAACAATTCCTTAAAAAATACAGTTGGCCAAATAGGAAAAAAAAAAGTCCACTGAAGAAAAGAACTCCTTAAAAGTGGGATTGGCCAAATAGAAAAGGAGATATAAAAACTGACTGAAGAAAATAATTACTTAAAAATTAGAATTAGGCAAATGGAAGCTAATGACTCTGTGAGACATCAAGAATCAATCAAACAAAATCAAAAGGATGAAAAATTAGAAGACGATGTAAAGCACCTCATTGGAAAAGCAATTGACCTGGAAACAGGAACTGACCAAGGGAGAGAATTTAAAAAGTATTGGACTACCTGAAAGCTATAATCAATAAAAGAACTTGGACAGCATATTTCAAAGAACTTGTCAAGGAAAACTGCTCTGATTTCCTAGAACGGGATGGTAAAATAGTCATTGAAAGAATCCACCAATCATCTCCTGAAAGAGATACCAAAACATATTGTAGCCAGATTCCAGAATTATCAGATCAAGAGGAAAATACTTCAAGCTGCTAGAAAGAAACAATTCCAATATTGTGGAGCCAAACTCAAGATTACATAGGATTTAGCAGCTTCTACATTAAAGGACTGAAGGGGCTTGGAATATGACATTCTAGAAGGCAAAGGAGCTTGGATTACAACCAAGAATCAACTATCCAGCAAAATTGAGTATAAATGTTCAGCGGAAAAGATGGAAGGGATTTTCAATCATTCCTAATGAAAAGACCAGAGCTGAACAGAAAATTTGATCTTCAAATACAAGACTCAAGAGAAGCATAAAAAGGTAAACAGGAAAGGAAAAAAAAACATGTCATTCAATAAAGTTCAACAGTTTACATTCCCATATGGGAAGATGATACTTGCAACTCTTGAGAACTGTCTCTTTATTGGGGCAGAAGAAATGAACCCAAAGACTCCAGTTTCTGGGATAGGAATTCACTATTTGACAAAAAATGCTGGGAAAATTGGAAAATACTATGGCAGAAACTAGGCATAGACCAACATCTTACACCACATATCAAGATAAGGTCAGAATAGGTATATGATTTAGACATAAAGAGTGATACCATAAGCAAATTAAAAGAGCAAGTAACAGTTTACCTGTCAGATCTATGGAGAAGGGAAGAATTTATGACCAAACAAGAGCTAGATAACATTATGAAATGCAAAATACATAATTTTAATTAAATTATTATATTACATTAAATTAAAAAGGGTTTGCACAAACAAAACTAATGTAATCAAGATTAAAAGGAAAGCAGAAAGCTGGGAAATAATTTTTACTGCCAGTGTTTCTCATAAAGCCCTCATTTCTAAAATACGTAGAGAACTGAGTCAAATTTATAGTTATATATGCATTATATATATATACATATATATATATATATATATATATATATATATATATATATATATATATACACATGTATATGTGTATAAATTTACAAAAATACAAGTCATTCCCCAATTGTCAAAGGATATGAGCAGGCAGTTTTCACATAAAGAAATCAAAGATATCTGTAGCCATATTTTAAAATGCTCTAGATCACTATTGATTAGAGAAATGCAAATTAAAACAACTCTGAGGTACCACATCACACCTATCAGATTGTCAAATATGATAGAAAAGGAAAATGATAAATGTTGGAGAAGATGTGGGAAAATTGGAGCAATAATGCATTGTTGGTGGAGTTGTGAAGAGAGTAATTTGGAGCTGTGCCCAAAGAGCTATAAAATGGTGAATTCTCTTTGATCCTACAATACCACTAGGTCTGTATCACAAAGAGATCATAAAAAAGGGAAAAGGACCCACATGTACAAAAATATTTGTAGTAGCTTTTTGTGGTGGCTGAGAATTGGAAATCAAGGGGGATGCCCATCAGTTGAAGAATGGCTGAACAAGTTGAGGTATATAAATGTAATGGAATACTATTGTGCCATAAGAAATGTGAGCAAGACAGATTTCAGAAAAACCTGGACTTACTTGAACTGATGCTGAGTGAAGTGAGAAGAACCAGGAGAACATTGTACATAGTAACAGCAACATTGTGTGATGATCAACTTTGGTAGACTTGTCTCTTCACAGCAGTACAATGCTCTAAGAGAATTCCAAAAGAGTCATGATGGAAAATACTATTCACCTCCAAAGAAAGAACTATGAAGTCTGAATGAAGATCAAAGCATATTATTTTTACCTTTTTTGTCATTGCTTTTTCTTTCTCTTGGTTTTTCCCTTTTGTTTTGATTCTTCTTTCACAATATGACTAATGTTGAAATGTTTAATCTGATTGTACCTGTGTAACCTATATCAGATTGCTTGCCATCTTGGGGAAGAGAGAGGGGAGGGAGAGAGAAAAAAGTTTGGAACTCAAAATCTTATAAAAATGAATATTGAAAACTTTTGTTTATGAAATTGGGGGGAAAATACTATCAAAGCAAAAAAAACTCGACTTAAAAGTATAGGTATAAATGCATTTTTCCTTAAAATGATAAGAATCATCTACCTAAAACCATTAGCAAAGCATTATTTGTAACAGGGATTAGCTAGAAGCCTTCCCAATAAGATCAGGTGTGAAACAAGGATGCCCACTAGCAATAGCAATAAAAAAAAGAAAAAGAAGTTAAAGGAATCAGAATGGGCAATATGGTGATAAAACTCTCTTTATGTAGATAATATGATGGTATACTTGGAAAATCCTATAAATCCAACTAAAAAGCTACCTGAAACAATTAATGGTTTTTAGCAAAAAATCAGGATATAATATAAACCCATATGAATCATCACCATGTCTATATATCACCAACACAACCCTACAAGAACAGATGGTAAGAGATAGTTAATTAAAACAATTGCGGGAAATATA